TAATAATTTGTCATTCCAAAACAAGGATGATTTTATGCAGCAACTGGGCAGTTCAGTATTGTTTCATAACTATATAAAGTTGCGTAAATACTACTTAATTTAAAAATCATTTAAAACATAATGTTTATACTATTTATTCATAAATACGATTATAACTAAAATTAGCCAAAACTAAAAAAAAATCCTAGTTTACTATTATAGACCCTTTTAAAATAAATTCAATAAAACATACTACCAGGTGTAATGTACATGCCACTAATAAGTCAAAGATAGAATGTGTTACTGATTCTGTAGGTAGGTTTGACTTCCAAAAGATGCTCAGAAAGCTTCTCACTTCACATCTTTTTTTTTATATTTGAACTTGAGCATGAAAATCATCACGCGCTAAGTAAAATTTAGTGAGGCAATAACATAACTAAAATGATATAAAACATAAATTTTGTAAAGTATTATAACATAAAATTGTAATTTAAATAAAACATTAAAACTTTCAAACCGAGCTATTCAAACTGATTTCTCCTTGAAAACCTGAAAATCATCATCTCATGATTTTATCAGAAATCATGAAAATCAACATAAAATATCATAAACAATTCATATTCCTTTCATTTGTGCATATTTCAGAACTTTCGTTTCATTTTCATTTTCTTTTCTTTCATAATCATCTCATAACTTTTATATTTATTTGTATAGTTCAATGTATATGCAAGAGAATACAAGGTACGTGAATAGAACATAAGGTGCGCACTAGACACATCACGGTGTCAATCATAACTGAAACATATAATGCACTCTAAGTGCAATCATAACATGAGCACCAACACTGCGGATCATAATGTACTCGAATGTATCATAACTAAACTGGAAAGTACTCAACTTAACAACATTCCAAATATACCTACGACTCTCAATGCAACATACAATGAGCTTATATATCACAATAGACTAATTTATTAATCAACGTCTGATAATCGTAAACGTTTAAAATTTATCATAATAAAAATCATACTTGGATAGTTCATACCCTAAATCATTCATAAATCTTGATGACAAATATTATGGAAATATTCCATAATTAAAAATTTTAAATTATACATGAAAATAAAATGATGTTAACTTATCGCAAGTCGTCATCGATCATAATAATTAAATAAATAAATTGCACTTACTTTAACACTTTACTTATAAATCAAAATATAAATCTCACTAAACTTTAGGTTTAATCTTTTGCTTTCGATTATTTCGACTACAAATTCTATCGAAAGTTCATACTCTTTCAGTTTGCACTACCTTCAAAGAAGTATTATTCTATATTATTCTACATACTTAAAAAATTATTCCTTTATATCAATGGAAACTAGACTCGAATATGAATCTAACCATATAAGGAACTTCTCCTAGTTCAATTGGTACAATTTATAGCGAATTGTCAAAACTAACTCATCGAAACTATTTTGTGCAGAATTTGCTGCCCTATTTTCTAACATATCATCGATTAAAAATTCATATCTTTTTATATACACCTCGAAATCAGTAGCCGTTTATGTTAAATGAAACTAGACTTACATACGAATCCAATGGCATAGAGATCATCCTCTAATCATTTATTTATAATTTATAGTGAATTTCTAAACTTAATGTTCAAATCATAATTTTTAGGCAGCTTTTGTTAATTAACAACCTCAATTTATTCCATAATTTTATTAGCTTACCAAATGAACATATAAGCTTGAATCACAATTCACATAACATTAGGATTCACTTCTTACCGTAGTAACTCTGTTACTGGCTCATTGCAAGCTAATGTTTATTTGACAACATTGAATACAAATTAAATGCACTCACCTTTGCATCGCTAATGAACCTTCTCCACGATATTCTTCTCGATCCCACACTTTTTCCTTCCCTTTCGAGCAACTTGGATCACTAGATTTACCGTGGTCTGACAACGTCATATAATAACATATAATGTTCAAACTATATGTTAGTACCGAACTAAAATAATCTAAGCGTAAATATAAAATTCGATAGAAATAAAATCGATACTTAAATCGAGATAAAACTGAATTGTACTTCCACCATAATTTCAAACTTCTTAAAACATTTCCTTAAATTCCATAAATATTTATTTCCATTATCAACCCTTCAACTTTTTCCAATTGCACAATCAAGCCATTAATTATGAATTCTTTCTATAATTCACCTTAACTTTTCCATAAATTCATAACGATCCTTCACTATTATGATCATTGCACTCTAATTTCTAAAATTTCCAGCACCTTAATAAAATTCTCATATCAATACTTTAACATTCAAAAACTTGCAATTTCATCCTAAACTTTCTTTGACTTTTCAAATTCAACTGCCCAACTTGATAAGCTTGTAATTCGATCCCAACTCCATATTTAAACAAAAAATTAGCACATAAATAAAAATTCCAGCAATGTACTATTTCACCCAAATGATACTTTCATATTTAAAAACTTAAAATCAAGTCCCTATATTTCTTGGACTTTTTGAATTCCACCCTCACATTTTACTAAATTTGGAATTTGATTCCAATCAACTTTATAACTTAAAATTCCAGCATTTCAATGTTAAAAATTAACATTAAACACCCCAAATATCACATTCTTGCGATAATATCCACAATTCTCAAAACTTGAATATGAACCCTTTTACTAACTCAAGGTTCCAAATTGATCCAAATTGATCTCCAAATCACATAGAACACTTCTTATATCAATTATAGACCGTAGGAAATTTTCAGTATTTACCCCCTAATGGACAAACCTTACATCAAATTCATGCTATTCTAATCATCACAACATCAAATTCCATTAAAATCCAAACATTCCTAAAAACCCTAATTATGCCGAATTCATTACAAGGCTGTACACATAGTTTTAACCATCACACAAGCCTTAGAATTAATCTACAACGTCTAAAACATCAAAATCTTTCATCAGTCTTTCAAAATCCCTAAATCTTACATAAACCCTAATTTCCAAATCTCATGAAATAAGCATGTTCTCCATGTAATATTTATACCAAATGATAGAGAATTTCATGTAGATTTATTCTCTATCTAATAGCTTAATCCAAAAATCAAGTGTGTAGCTTTAAAAATCAAATTAAAAATCTCACCTTGGTGGCTATGGAGCTCACGACAAACTTGAGGAAGATGGCTGAAAAGTTGCTTGATTTTTCTAGTAATTTGTGGATTAAAACACTTGATTTAATCTAATATAAATGAATTTAAAATTCATTTAATGAGAAATTCCAAAAATACAATTAATGAAACTTGATAATTACAATATGCCATTACAATATCTTCCATTAAAATATTCCATAGTAAAAAATAAACCAATTTGGATTTGACTTTCTACTTTGGTCATGCAATTTTTGAAAATTGCATTTTAGTCACTAAATTTCCACTGTTTAGCCAAATCTAAAACATTACACTGATATATGATAAATTTCTCTGATCTAAAATATAGAAATAATATTCCATTCCAAACACTTATCTAGCATCTTTCAAATTTTCATAAAATTCTGGTTCGATCCAATTATTCTATTTCGATATCGAAATTTATTAATTTATAGCTTTTAACACAAATTCTGTACCGAAAATATAGTTACCACGAAAATCCTTGTTTTAGGCCAAACTATTTATTTACGGGCTAAAATATATAACTTTTCAAAGTTACATTTTTGGTCCCTAAACTTTTACAAGTTTATACTTTAGCCACTAAACTTTCAAAACTTACATTTTAGTCACTAACCAAAATTTGGGGTATTACATAGAATATAGAAAATTTTAAATATACTTAACTAAAATTAATTGATTAAAATATTGAAAACATTAGATTTCAAAATTAAAAAGTAATTGACAAAAAATCAATTAATACAACTTAATTGAGATCTAAATATAAAGTTAATGAAAATATGTGGTAAAACTTGGGTCTAGACCTTTTCTAGCCCAAGAAAGAACTTATTAATGTCGATAGGTTTTGAGTTTACCTAATCCATTTTTTGCTCAATTTATTATATATATATACTATATTCTACTATAATTACTTTGCTCAAGTTTGATTTTACAAGTTAGATGATGTCAATTCAGTAAATGAGAAGTAAAACAAAATGAATATATCTTAAAATTAAAAATAAAATAGAAATATGTATCGACGTATTTTCTAAAAAAATCATTTTCTTTAAATTTACCCATTTCTCTAAAAATAACTATCCACCTAATATTTAAAAAAAAATCCACTTAAAAGTTAAAAATAAAACATTCTACTTATTTATTAATTTTAATATATTTTTTATTCTTATGGTAAGTGTGACAAATTTTAATGTATATATATTATAGTAAATAATATAAATCATTGTGCATGTTATAATATTAATGGGAGAAAACTCATTCATTTTCATTAGGATAACACATTTTTTTTAAACTTTCATCGTCTAATATATAAAATAAAAAAAGTTTCAAGAAAAATTGGAAACTCAACGGGTTGGTCTCTGATTATGACAAGTAGCTAATTACTCTCATCGTCATTGGTTTTGGTTCTCGAAAAATAATGGAAAATTCTGTACAATGAAATTATAAAAATTTTAAAACGAAGATTTTATCGAGATATTTTCAACAGTAAATTGTATAAATCAACATATTTTTATAAAAAAAATCAATGTCGTAGAGGAGATGTTATTAACAAAAGAATCTTTCGAGAGAAATTTTAAAACAATCATCTACACCCATTTCTCTCTTGGACCGTACTGGCAGAACACACTCATGCCATAGCTGAATCTAGCTCTCCTCTTTACTCCCGAAAGTTTCACGTTCGACAGTTTTAATAATTTTATTAAAAAAATTATTAATCCACATGTAGCCTATTGATAATATAAAAAATTTCATATAGGGTATATGTAACACCCTTAACTCATATCCGACCCGAATACAAGTCTGAGGTGTCACATTGACTTTTCAAATCTTTGACTCTTACAGAAAATCCCGGGAATTTTTAAAACTTTCATTAAAACGAAATACATTAATTTACATAAGACCATAAAATACAAAATCGATCAGAGTATTCGTAATTAACACTTATTACATACCAACACTCTATACATAATCAAGTACATACTTTGTCAATTTACTTCTGATCTGATCTCTTAGTAGTATTGCTGCCTGTGCTACTTCTATTTCCACTCTTCCTGATTTTTGGTACCTACGTGTAAATCACTTACACGCTAAGTCATAGACTTAGTGAGGCAATAAATGAATATGCAACGATAAACTTATGAATGTTCATACTTACCATTGGATCATGACATTTCAATGTGCATTTATTTATCACATGATAACATATATAACCATATAATGCACATACGAAACTTACCTTCTTGTATCACTTTCACTGTAAATCGGTATTTCAATTGCATAGCCCATGTATCTTATTGAGATTAGAGGTATGTGAGTGCATTGAGGTTGTGCACTAATGCTGTCACCATAGCTCATATCTATTCCCTCATGGGGCACCAAACCTTAGTTCAGTATTCGTCCCGTAGGACTCCTACATCCCGAAGGACTACGTCCCGAAGGACTACATCCCGAAGGACTATTATACCCTCGACTCTTGGCATGCCAATTACACCTATAATTCTCATATCGTATACTATGGGCATTATTCTTATATTTCATATGTTCATGTACTCATGTCATTTCTCTTGTGATCATGTAGCTCATGTCATTTCTCTTGTGATCATGTAGCTCATGTCACTTCATATCATGTTCTCATATCACAGGTCATATCACATATCATATCACATAGCATATCACATGAACATATATATATCTTATGCATGTATCACAATAATTATCATGTATGCATGTTCACAACTACTGTATTATAAAAATCAACATAGGGATTAGACTTATCACAAGTCCTATTCCATTATAATATACATCTAGTATGCACTTACCTTAGCTTTGCTTTGTTTCGATTCTAATCCTTTGATCGTTCCGGAATAAGCTTACTTTTAGTATCTACATAATCACACATGGATGTATATCAGTATTATAACTAATATACTCTAATGGTTCACTCTTTAAACTAAGAGAAAAGTCAATTTCATCTTTTAATGAAGGTATGCATCGATGCACTACTGATGCATCGGTGCATCCAAGGTATTCGATGTAGTATTATTGTTGGGATGCATCGATGCACTCCTAATGCATCGATGCACCGATTGCATTCGATGTTTCACTATTAATGGGATGCATCGATGCACTACTTATGCATCGATGCACGAATTGCATTCGATGTCTTTATTTTAAAATAGTGCATCGATGCACTACCAATGCATCGATGCACATTCATATAATTTCTGGGTTTTAACCTTGATGCATCGATGCACCATGAATGTGCATCGGTGCACTCTGCCCAGAATCCTCTTTTTGAACCCGAAAGTTCATTCATTTGGATTAAATCCTTCATGTTTAATCCCCTTTTTCATTCTTAACTCTAGTACACATCCTTAAACCTATTTATACTCATTTATTTCATCTTAAACCTTCAAATCCTATCATTCATATGTAATTCAAGAATTACATTAATAAATCAACATGTTTGAATTCCGTTTTTAACACTTCGTATATCTTAACTAGATTGATGACAAGTCAAATATAACTTTCAATTCTAGTTATGAACTCTATTCCAAGATTTCATTTAAGAACTTCAAATCTTAAATCTCTCCTAACTCAATCATCCTTTGATGTTAAGATAACTTAAGCTTTCCTTAAGCTTAGTTATCATCTAATAATCAAAACCCAATATTAAATTTAACAAGAAACTAAATAATCAGAAATCTTACCTTTGCTTTGGTTCACGCGTACAAGGAAGAAAGAAGAAGAAGATAAGTCTGGAAGCCTTTAGTTCTCTCCTTTTCAACCCACTTGTATTCATATATATCCTTATCCCTTGTTTAATTAATTGATCCTTGCAATGACTCTTTTGCCCTTCCATTCCTACTTCCTTTCAATTCAATCCTACACAATCATTTACATATATATCTTTATACTATTCATTCATTCTATTTTAATCACCAAAATTTGAAACTTTTCAATTTAGTCACTAACCCGGTATTGAGGATGTTACAATTCTCTCCCCCTTAAGAAAATTCGTCCTCGAATTTTCATTATGTAAAGAGGTAGGGATACTTAATCCTCATGTCCTCTTCACGTTCCCATGTTGCTTCCTCTATTTTGTGATTTCTCCACAAGACTTTAACCAATGGAATAGTCTTGTTCCTTAATTGCTTGACTTCATGAGCTAATATTTGAACAGGTTCTTCCTCATAAGTTAAATCTGGTCGAATCTCAATTTCTTCAGTAGTCACAACGTGAGATGGATCAGATCTATATTTCCTAAGCATTGAGACATGAAAAACATTGTGTATCTTTTCCATTTCAGGTGGCAAAACCAGTTGATATGCTACTGATCCTACCCTCCTAGTAATCTCATAAGGTCCAATGAACCGAGGACTCAACTTTCCTTTACGTCTAAACCTCAATATTTTCTTCCACGGAGCCACTTTCAAGAACACTTTATCTCCGACTTGAAATTCAATTTCTTTCCTTTTTAAATCGGCATACGATTTCTGTCTATCAGCTGCAGCTTTTAGATTATTCTGAATTACTTGAACTTTCTCTTCCGTATTCTGAATCAACTCAGGACCAATAACTTCTCGATCCTTAAGTTCATACCAGTTCAAGGGCGTACGACATTTTCTTCCGTAAAGAGCTTCATAGGGAGCCATTTTGATGCTTGACTGATAACTATTGTTGTATGCAAATTCAGCAAGTGGTAAATATTTTTCCCATGATCCTTTGAATTCAATGACACTCGCTCTAAGCATATCCTCCAGAATTTGGATAGTTCGCTCTGATTGACCATCAGTTTGAGGATGAAACGCTGTACTGAAGTTTAACCGAGTTCCCAATGCTCCATGTAATGACTTCCAAAACCGTGATGTGAATCTAGGATCCCGATCAGAAACTATGGAAATAGGGATACCATGCAAACGTGTAATCTCTCTTATATACAATTCAGCATACCTATTAATGGAGAAATCAGTTCGTACTGGAATAAAATGGGCTGACTTAGTCAATCTATCCACGATTACCCAGATTGAATCCTTTTTGTTCGGAGTTAAAGGCAAACCCGTCACAAAATCCATCGTTATGTTTTCCCATTTCCATTGAGGAATTGAAATTGGTTGTAACAATCCTGACGGAACTTGATGCTCAGCTTTGACTTGTTGACAAGTCAAACACTTTGATACAAATTCTGTAATGTCTTTCTTCATTCTCGGCCACCAATATCGACTCTTGAGATCCATATACATTTTGTTCCCTCCTGGATGCATTGTCAATGGGCTACAATGAGCTTCCGTCAACAAATCATTCTTTAATTCATCATCATCTGGAATTACTAATCTTTCTCGATAATACAAGTTCTCGTCAGACTTAATCTCATAATCCGTACCCTCTCCATTCTTTATCTGTTGTATCCTCTTTAAACACTTTTCATCTTTAACTTGCAATTCTTTAATTCGATTTATCCATACTGGCTTGACAGTCAGTTCTGCACAAATTGCACCATCTCCTCTTAACGATAATCTAGCATCAAGAGCTCGCAAAGCTGCAAACGTCTTTCGACTCAAGGCATCAGCTACCACATTTGCCTTTCCAGGATGGAAATCAATAACCACATCATAATCTTTGAGAAATTCCACCCACCTTCTTTGTCTTATATTCAACTCTTTCTGAGTCATCAAGTACTTTAAACTCTTGTGATCCGTATACAAGTAGCACTTTTCACCATACAAGTAGTGACGCCATATTTTTAGAGCGAACACTACTGCAGCCATCTCCAAATCGTGTGTCGGATAATTCTTTTCATGAGGTTTTAATTGCCTCGAAGCGTAGGCCACCACCTTGCCTTCTTGCATTAACACGCATCCCAAGCCATTATGAGACGCATCACTATACACTACAAAATCCTTGCCAGACTCAGGTTGAACTAACACTGGAGCTTCTGTAAGAATCTTCTTTAACTTTTCAAAACTTCTTTGACATTCTTGAGTCCAAACAAATTTTATTTCCTTTTTCAACAGTTTAGTCAGGGGTAATGCTATAATCGAAAAGTTTTTAACAAACCTTCGATAATAACCAGCTAACCCCAGAAAACTTCTAACTTCCGATATATTCTTTGGAACTTCCCACTCCAGAATAGCTTTAATCTTTTGGGGATCCACTCGAACTCCTTCTGCCGAAATTACATGTCCAAGGAATGCCACTTCATTCAACCAGAATTCACATTTAGAAAATTTAGCATAAAGCTTTTTATCTCGTAATATCTGTAAGACAATCCTCAAATGCGAACTATGCTCTTCCTCTGACTTTGAATATATTAAAAATATCATCAATGAACACCACAACAAACTGATCCAAATACGGTTGGAAAATTCTGTTCATTAAATCCATAAAAGTAGCTGGTGCATTCGTAACTCCAAACGGCATCACGATAAATTCATAGTGACCATATCTTGTTCTAAACGCCGTTTTTGAAATGTATTTTTCTTGAATCTTTAATTGATGATAACCCGAACGTAAATCAATTTTTGAGAACACTAAAGCCTCATTTAATTGATCAAATCAATCGTCGATTCGGGGAAGTGGATACTTGTTCTTGATGGTTACTTTATTGAGTTGTCTGTAATCGATACAAAGACGCATGGATCCATCTTTCTTCTTAACAAATAAAACTGGAGCTCCCCAAGGTGATACACTTGGTCTAATAAACCCTTTGTCCAATAGCTCCTTTAATTGAATCTTTAATTCTTGCAATTCTTTTGGAGCCATTCTGTATGGTGCCATTGCAATGGACGCTGTTCCCGGTATTATCTCAATCTGAAATTCTACCTCTCGGTCAGGAGGTA